TCAACCACCAATGATCCTGACATCTCACCAAATTTCTTATTCATCACCGTTTACAACTTCCAGCCGTAAAACAAGCTTCAGATTACGCTGTAGAACAGCGAGTACGAGTGCACTCTCAAACCAGCGAAGCGATCAATCCTGACCGTAGTCTTTATGTGTCGCCCCCTCCCCCTTTGCATTTCTCAGTGCAAACAAATAAGAACCGAATGTGCCTTGATATGCAATATGCTACACATGTTTATCACCATAAAAGAATAACCAGAGTGAACAATGACCTACGGGAGAATCAGAAATCACTATACACCAAGTAAAACAATCAAAAGAGAGGCTTCGCTTATTTTCACTAATATCGTTTATCTCCAACTTCTTTTTTAAAAATTATAATAAATTCAAAATTAGAGTAACCTTAAATCTAAGGTTTGCTCGGAATTGCCAACCGATCTGTGTAGATCGTAGTGCACGCCATGTATACATAGTTGTATAACCAGCTTCGTCACGAGTTTGATTTTACGTATATCAAAGTTCAGGACAGTTTTGTACGGACTGTACTGATCGTCGAAGTGCCGAAAAATTTTATCTAGAGAAATTGATCCTGAGCATTGATACTGTGAAAAAGAGGAAATTTGTTGTTTGTTTTTTGTAAACTCTACGAGGAAACTTCTAACCTGCCTCTCCAGAAGATATTTACGGTTCCGGGAGCACTTTATGGTTTCACCCAAACCCTTTAACTGTGCGCGGCTAGAAGGTCCAAAGCGCAAGCAATTTGTTCAGCGTCCTTGCTCTCTCTCTGTTATGTGTGCTAGACACGGGAGGTACAGTGAACAAATATATTCACTCCAGCACGTACTATCATCATCACTCAAATGCAACAATCTTCATTGCCTGCTACGTAAGCACACGCGTCCATCAGTTCCCACTGATCGTCCCAGCATGTGATACCGTTGCTCCTGTCAGACACCGATCAATATCCTTCCAGGCCGTTTGCCCGTGAGCCAGCTTGACCTAGTTTTAGGTCATTGTTTAAATCGATTGACGTATTCTCACGATCATTCATTAATTCGTTGACTCGGTTCCGAGCAGCACGCTCTCTTTTGTGTTCTGATTTCTTGTGTTGGGTTACGAACCCCTAAAATCACTGTGCATTACCGTCGCGGTTGTAATTTGGTCTTAACATTGTCAATCTGTATAAAAGTAAACTTTATTGAACTGGAGCAATGCGCAAAGAATAAGTAATACCTGGCATTGTTTGCGTCTGTTTTTCTTCCGCTTCGATCATGTAGATGATAGAGAAGTAGCTGTATATGTTATATATGTTAACTCCGTGCCTACTCAATGAACCAAACAAAGTGAATTGTTGGTTGGAGGGTGAATGCCCAATGACGGGGCACGATTCATCCATCTCAAATGCGCATTCCGTGACTATGTGCTCAGTACGATCAATCTGACGCAAATAGCGGGGGTCGGTTGCCGTTCACATTTGTCCCTCTCGATGTCCGATCCCGATCAAAATCCCTCAAGTTAGTGGCACTAAACGCATTCGATCAATTTTCACGATGTTCACTCACTACGTACAGGGTAGCTCCAAACGAAATGGGTCTTAGGGGATACAAACATCAATTGCATGTCAGGGAGTTGATTATAGATCAAATTACCTCCAAGAATTATTATGATGATTCTGTGTTAGATTTTGTGGGTCAGATACGCCTAATTCAAGTAAAGTCAACGCCAGGGCCCATATTCAAAGAGTTCATAATAAGTATATATGAAGGACTGGACAAACTTTCCCCGAAGCACAGGACCAATTTCGCGGTTCTTTCCGCTTTTCAGGTATGCGCACTCGGTGTCAAGTTTGCCGTGGTTAGATGTACCTGCCCCCAAAAAGTCTAGCTCAGAATCAGCGCAAGGATTGGTTTATCTCGAATAGCCCCCAGATATGCAATTGAAATTTGCTTTACCTAAGTCTCATTCCGGAGTACAGGTATAAGAAGGACTTGACAAGGAATTATGGAATACGTACATTTGACTAGCGGAAAGGACTGTAATCAGATTATGTAAAATAAGAATTCCAGCCATTCATATGGTATTTTATCATAGAAAGATGCCTTTCCAAAGGAAAACCACAGTTGAGCTGTCACGACCTAATGACATCGGATCGGGGGTCGGGACGAACCTGATCACTGATGCTGTTCTCGCGTTGACTGGCAATCTAACATCTAATAGTTGTTTTTTTATGTTTGTTGTTTATCTATCAGATTCACTTTATGTACTTGAACATATGAACAAATGCATGCTCCCGAGAGGAGTGACGTGATTACGTGACTTGACAAGAATGACAAAACTAGCAAGGAATCACATCAACCAACATAGAACAGAGTTTTTAATCGGAATACATTCTTTTTCCATACGAGTAACGGATATTCCAATGTGAGAATAGGGCAAAGAGATACCGATACAAGTTACGTACTGTGCCAGGTGAATACATTATAATCCAACCGTTTGATGCACAAAAAGAAACCCGAGTGAATGGAGATGACTCGATCGATGTCTTTTGCATTTCAAACAGGGGTTGATGGGATACGGTAGCAGAAACAGATGTTCAAAGTGGTTCGTCCACTCAGGACCACTATGATTAAGTGCATGGTGAGCAAGACATTAGTCAGACGACCCATTCCCATACATCTTCTCCTGTCAATCACCATGTATCGAGACAACGCCCTGGAACAAATACTGTACACGACGGTTTGTCAAC